CACACACTCCCTGACCTCCACCAACACACACTCCCTGACCTCCACCAACACACACTCCCTGACCTTCACCAACACACACTCCCTGACCTCCACCATCACACACTCCCTGACCTCCACCATCACTCACTCCCTGACCTCCACCATCACACACTCCCTGACCTCCACCATCACACACTCTAACCTCCACCATCACACACTCCCTGACCTCCACCTTCACTCTCTCCCTGACCTCCACCATCACTCACTCCCTGACCTCCACCATCACACACTCCCTGACCTCCACTGTCACACTCTCCCTGACGTCTGCCTTCACTCTCTCCTGGACCTCCACCCACACACTGATTATATACCCCTTGGATTTATATTATCACACACTCCCTGCCCTCCTCTATTGTACACTCAACTGAGCCACAGTTTCTTGAGCAGCAGCCATATTACATCCTTGGTGAGAAACTAGGATTCTAATATAAACCCCACATTGGCCTCCTTTTAAAGAAAAGAAATTGCCAGAGACAGAAAAGAACAGGGGATTTTTTAAATGGGAAGTCTGAATTGCCAAGAAAATAGGAGAAGATGCTCGGCCACCCTTTAATTCAGAAAAACGTGCATGGAAATCACAGTGTGATACCACTTTACATCCACGAGCTTGGCAAACATTAAAAGTGGGCAGTACGAAAAGCTGACCTGTCATGGAGAAATGGGCACCCTCATACAGTGGTGAGATGCACAGCAGATCCCAGAGCCAGGTCCCCTGGCATCACGTTGGAACATGAAGGGGGTGGGCAGGTCTCCAGTTCCTCCACTCCTTTGTGTAGTCAGACTCCAACACTGGAGTCCTGGGAGCCAGTCCAAGGAGACCGTCGAAGAATGTTGACTGCAGCACTGCTTATAAGAACATCTGAACAACTGCTCATGGAGCTCCATCCGCAGGGAGATGCACTTGTAAAGAACAAATTCAGTGTAATGTGATGTTCTATAGGGACATAGGCCGCATTGTATGGGGGAAAGAGGCCTGATTGATAACTGGGTGACAAAGCACAGATGCAGCTCTGGTGAGAACAACAGGACAGGAAGAGTGTCCCAGAAAAGGGAGCTGCGTATGTCAACATACAGAGTCATGAAAGAGCTTGTGTCAGGGAAGTTCTGTGTGGCTGAGTTACCTGGAAACGAAGGGGGCATTTAGGGGATGAGATGAGACAGAGAGGCAAGGCCAGAGAGGGGTGACAGCTTGGACCCCAGCTGAGGAGGTCAGGCGTTACCCTGCAGCCTCTTCCAGGTTTCAAGGCCAAACTCTCGGACTGCTGTTAAAGGGAAATCATTCAGAGGGTGTTATGGACACAGCAGGGCAAGGTGGCAGGGGTAGGTGAGGGGCCACAGATGGAGCTGCTGGGGCCTGTGGTGGTCAGAGGGCTCGAGAGCAGAGAGCAGGGACACCTAGGGTGCTTGGGAGCACAGAGGACTGTGCCTTGGACCTCTTCCTGGGGTAAGCAAATGCCAACAATAGCTGGTGTCACTGAAAAAAAAGGACAATAAAAAGGAACAAGTGGAGGATGCCACATTTGGAGACTCTGAAAAGGCAAAACAACCAATGCAGGCACGGGTGTGGTTAGATGCTGCTTCAGGGCCAAAAACCAACTGTAATGGACATTTTGGGGACCATTGGGGAAATCTGCGTATGGCAGGATAGTAGATAATACTAGGGAAGTATGGTTGATCGTTTGCATAGGATGATGTTACTTCGGCTATGTGAAAGATGTCTTGAGCAGTGGCTCACGCCTGTAATCCCTGCACTTTGGGAGGTCAAGGCAGGTAGATCACGAGGTCAGGAGATTGAGACCATCCTGGCTAACACAGTGAAACCCCGTCTCTGCTAAAAATACAAAAAAATTAGCTGGGTGTGGTGGTGGGTGCCTGTAGTCCCAGCTACTTGGGAGGCTGAGGCAGGAGAATGGCATGAACCCGGGAGGCGAAGCTTGCAGTGAGCCAAGATTGCGCCACTGCACTCCAGCCTGGGTGACAGAGCGAGACTCCGTCTCAAAAACAAACAAACAAAAAAATGAACAGAAATTAGCTAGGCATGGTGGCGCACACGTGTCGTCCCAGCTACTCAGGAGGTAGAGGATGCGGTGAACCGAGCAACAGACGGCAACAGAGAAAGACTCTGTCTTAAAAAATATATATATATATCTTTATTTTCAGGAGAGGTGTGTTGAAATACTTAGGTCATAACTTAGCATCATAACTCAGTAGTTTAGTTTCAAGCAGTACAGGAAAAAAAAAATATATCAAAAAAAGAAAAAACGGCAAAATGTTACTAATTACAGAATCTAGGTAGGACATATAATGGTGCATGCTGTACTATTATTAAACATTTTCTTTTTTGTTTGTTTGTTTTGTTTTGTTTTTTGAGACGGAGTCTTGCTCTGTCGCCTAGGCTGGAGTGTAGTGGCACAATCTCAGCTCACTCCAACCTCCGCCTCCTGGGTTCAAGCGATTCTCCTGCCTCAGCCTCCCGTGCAGCTGGGACTACAGGCACACGCCACCATGCCCAACTAATTTTTGTATTTTTAGTAGAGACGGGGTTTCACTGTGTTAGCCAGGCTGGTCTTGAACTCCTGACCTTGTGATCCGCCCGTCTCGGCCCCCCAAAGTGCTGGGATTACAGGTGCGAGCCACTGCGCCCGGCCTTATTATACATTTTCTATGTGTTGAGAGGTTCTCATCATTTAGAAGATAGAGAGGAGATGATTGAAGAATGTAGTATATCATGCATGTTAAGATACAAAATTAAATAAATGTTGGCCGTTTGCTTTCCTGCACCAGGTTTAGGTTTCTGAAATGTGTTTGTTACTGTGAGGTTTCCTTTGTGAATAACTGTAAAAGTTCTTTGGCGCACAGTTGGGAATAGAAGAAAATGCAGCGGCTGGAGGAGGGGAGGTGGTGTTGCTGGCCCATGGGGAGCAGGCACGGCCCAGGGAGGCTGGGAGGCCACCACCCACAGCACTCGTAACCATAGACATTTAAATGGCATTTCCATCTCTAAACTTGCCTCCTTCTATTTTTGAAACTTTTGAACATAAAAGAGTTCATTTTTAAACAGACTCTTCTGAGTCGGCTGAGCCTGCCCAGGCCCCAAATCCTGCACAAATGCAGCCAGTGCCTGGAGGCAGTCAGACAGACGCAGAGTGTCTCATTTTGCTGTAAGTGACAGCCATAGCTAATGCCAGGGCGGAAAGAAAGACGCCTTCCATGCCACTGGGCTGCCAGGGACCTGGAAAATGTTTCTGCTTGACATCGCCGTGAAAAAATAAAGCAAATGTCTTGCCCTAGAAAGAATCGGGCAAGGATGGGAGTAGAGGGCAGCTTTTTAGCCTCAAAATCATCTGGCGTTGTTTTTCTTGGATGACTGACTTTATTAAAAGCCCCATTTCCCTTCAGATGCAGCCCGAGGATGACAGTCAAGGGTGACACCAGTCAACAAACTCACCGGCTCCCTGTCTGTCCCCAGCCCGGGAGCCGAGGCACAGAAAAGCATCCCTGCCTTACAGCCAAGCACCTGGCCCGGAGGTGTTTGGAAGGGGATCCCCTCCCCCCACCCCCCAGCAATGGGGAAAGTCCCCGAGACCTTGATCACTCTGTGCAGTTAATCCAGCGGCTTCCAGGACGGGCACTGGCTGACTTTGCTTTCAGCTGTGGGTGCTGGACCCAGTGAACCCCCAGAGGCCAGGCAGCTTTCACTTTGGGGAACGCAGACTCTGTGGGTCCAGAAGGGTCTGTGTGGAAAGAGAAGCCAACAGTCTCTGGTTTTGTGTAAAGTCTCATGATGTTTAACGGCTGGCAACGAGCTCAACTGAAAACAAATGTAAAAACACCACAAGCTAAACCACGGGTACAGGCTGGGTGCACCCACAGGCCACCCAGTTGCTCTCTGTTTGGCTGTGACCAACTCGGCCCAGGTCCCATTTCTGGCACTCATTCCTGTTTCTTCACTTAAACAAAATGGCATGAATGCTGCCTTCTCAGGGGGCATGCTGTGAGGATGCTGTAACTTTGGAGAGTGCCTGACCCTTTCTGTGGTGCCCCTGCTTGCTCCCTTCCTCTTTTCCCCTCCGTCTTCCCTTTCCTCCCTCCTCCCCTTCTCCCCTCTCTTCTCTCTACTCCCTTCTCTCCTTTCCTCACTTCCTCCTCTCCTCCTGTCTCCTTTCCTGCCTCCTTCACTCCTCTTCTTCTTTCCTCCCTCCCTCCTCTTCTCTACGCCTCCCCTTTCTTCTCCCCCATCTCCCCTTTCCCCCGCTGCTTCTGTCTCCTCTCTCTGCTGTCTTCCCTCCCTCTTCCCTGTCTTGGCCCTGAACCTTTCCCTGGGCTTCCACGCGCTGCTCAGTCTCCTCTAGGCCCATTCCATGTCTTCTCAGAAAATCCAGCACCACCCCTCGACCACCTTCCACAGAGGGGGCTGCCCTTGTCAGCTCCCTCGTCAAGCGGCCGCCAGTATTTCTAGGTCAGTTCATGAATGGCAGTGTACTCCAGCTCTTCTGTGTCAAAAACAAACACCCTCCTCCCAGCGCTGCTCCTGGCCGGCTGCCCCGCCCTCTGCCAGGCGTTTCTCAGAGGACAAGACCTAATGAGCTGGCTGCTGCCAGCCTGGTCCTCACAGTTCATCAGTAGGTTTCCAGACAGGTCTCAGGCTCAGGGACAGCGCAGAGACAGCTGCTTTCTCTTTCCTGGAGCGCCTGAGACCTGGGTGCACCTGGGGGGCTGGTGCATGGGCTGCTCCCAGTGAGTGGGAAGTTCACGTCCAGAAGTACACCCGCCACTGGCCACAGCAGCACAGGTTCATCCAGCGCACCAGGCGAGGCTGGAGCTCTCTGGGAGTGAAGGAACAGGTGGGGATGAGCCTGAACTTGCACGCAGAGCTCTGGGCTCCATTCAGCCCCCGCCCCGCCCCAGCTGTGTCGTCTGGGCACCGAGTTCTCCCTGCGCTGCTCTCCTCCTGGCAGAAGGCGGGTCATAACAGCACCATCATGCGGGAGTGTGGCGCCGTCTAAATAGGCACAGGAAGCTGCACAGAGAAGATGTATGGGCAACAGTGCCCATGGAGAACCCATGCAGCCCCCTAAGAGGGGCAGAGAGCCTCCAAGCAAAAGTCATTCTATCTCAACACTCACTCCCCTGAAGACTATTTGTTCTTGGGAAGTAGGATACCTAATATTGAATGTCTGTGGTCCCCTTGCAACTCACATGCTGAAGCCCTAACCCTGAATGAGATGGTGTCTGGAGATGGAGCCTTTGGGGGTGATTGGGGTTAGATGAGGTCAAGAGGGTGGGACCACCCATGACAGAGATTACAAGGAGAAAAAGAGGAAAGAGATGTCCCTGCCCCCTCTCTTTCTTCCCCTGTCCCCACCAGGGCAGAAGAAAAGCCATGTGAGGACACAGTAAGAAGGCAGACGTCTGTAAGCCAGGAAGAGAGTCCTCACCGGGACCCAACCATGCTGGCACCCTGGTCCTGGACTTCCGGCCTCCAGAACTGTGAGAGAAATTTCAGTTGTTGAAGCCATCTGTGGTATTTTGCTATGGCAGCCAGAGCAGACTCAGACAATCTTTAAACACACATACTTTCAGCAGTAGCTGGCATGTCTGACCTGCCCAGATGAACTGATTGCACACTTAGGTAAACTGACTACTCATCCCGGCAAAGCCCCTCACCCTGTAACCACCCCACTGAACTGACCGGACTGGTGGCTCACCCCAGCCTTGGACAGGCAGAACATCGGCCCTGGACACAGTCCCTGTCATCCTAAAGGAGCCTCCTTAAGGAGCACTGGTAGGACCAGGGAGAGTCAGAGTTAATAGTAATGATAGTAACTTCAGTGCTTTGTATGGAGCAGCTGTGTATGATGAGCCAGGGCTGGGACCAAGCATTTTCCATTCATCATCTTGTTTAATTTCTGTTGTTACCTTGTGAAGAAGGTAGGATTATCTCTATTTCACAGAAGAGGAAACTAGAGATGAAATTCCTTGTGTAAGTTTACACTGCAAGTACCAGATGGACCAAGCTTCCAACCCTCCTCTCTCTGACTTTAAACCTTATGCATTTTAGAGGAAAAAGAGTCATTGATCAAAGTATTTTTCTTTCTTGATATTTATTTGGGGTTGGGGGTGGTGTTGCTTTTTTAAAAAACAGAGGAGGTAAACATGTCTGTTAAAAACAGACAGGCCAGGCACGTTGGCTCATGCCTGTAATCCCAGCACTTTGGAAGGCCAAGGCAGGTGATCACTTGAGGTCAGGAGTTTAAGACCAGCTTGGCCAGCATGGTGAAACCCTGCCTCTACTGAAAATACAAAATTAGCTGGGCATGGTGGTACACACTTATAATCCCAGCTACTTGGGAGGCTGAGGCAGGAGAATCGCTTGAATCTGGGAGGTGGAGGTTGCAGTGAGCCAAGATCGTACCACTGCACTCCAGCCTGGGTGACAAAGTGAGACTCTGTCTCAAAAACAAACAAACAGAAAGCTCTGTTTTACCATCTTGGAGAGATCAAGCCTGAGACAGAAGGTTAGAAGCTCAACAGGAGGTAAGGGTGCTAAGCAGGGAAAGCAGACCCCAGCAGTGGGAAGTCCCTCCTGCCCACCTCACTGTGAGCTTTGTCATGTAAGAATACGTGACATCGGGAAGCTGAGGCAGGAGAATGGCGAGAACCCAGAAGGCGGAGCTTGCAGCGAGCTGAGATTGCACCATTGCACTCCAGCCTGGGTGACAGAGTGAGACTCCGCCTCAAAAAATTTAAATTAAATTAAATTTAAAATTTTTAAAAAAAGAATATGTGACATTCAGATATTGTCAGCACAGGATACTCTGCTGTAGCTCAGAGGCCGGGGGCCCCTGCCACGTTCGTCCACTGTCCCCTCTTCCTCATGCAGTGACTGCTGAGCCTGGAGCCCCCAGTATCTGAGCGTGGCAAAACTGGCTTAAATGCCCCCTCTCCCACTCTGCCCTTGCACCTCTCTTAACCTAACTTTGTGTCCTCATCCGTGGAGTGGGCATACAGTCCACACTGCACAGGTTTGTCGTAAAGTTGAATTAAAGGAAGGCTGGAATCTGCACCACAGTGTCTAGCACATAAGAAGCCTTTGAAAGATGCCCGCTTACTTCTCTCCTTCTCTATCTACTAAGATTGTGTTGATGCCTTTTACAGTTTGATGGAGAAGGTCAGAGGATGTGGGAAGACATGTATGTTTAGGAGAGTGTTTTGACGTAGACAAGAGTGGGGATTTTTTTTTTTTTTTTTTTGGTTTTTGAGACGGAGTCTTGCTCTGTCCCCCAGACTGGAGGTTTTGTCTGCGGCTCGTCCTGCTACATATGAACCCTAAGTTCCTATAGAACCTCATTTCACCATCACTTCCTTCTCTGTTTCCTTCCCTTCCCAGCCCCCGTCAGAGGGCTTCTCAGCCCCAACCTCATGTCCCTTCTAGGGTCCCCAACCTGCCCCAGCCCTGCATGGCTGCCTTCAGCCTGTTCTTCGTTCATCTGATTAAAGCACTGTCCCCACCTCAACCACTCTGATGGCTGGACATCGCCCACGGTGCCAAATTCTGAGCATCCACTGCCCCACGCACAGTGTGCAGCCCTACAGCCTTCCCAGGGTCCTCTCCCACCCGTCCCCTGACACCCCAGACTGACTCCCCTTCCAGGAAGGCCTCCCCTGCTTCATTTTCTTCCCTACCCAAAGAGACTGCAGACATAAATGCTCCCCCACCTCCTAGCCCAGGAGAATTCCAGTCACTTCCTTCTCATCAGTTTCCATCACTGACCAGGAGGTTATCACACTGCTATTTATCATCTGTATCCCCACCGAGCTCGAGCTCGCAATCCCTAAAGGTCAGAGATTGCATCTTCAACCAGTACCCGGCACACAGCAGGTGTGCAAAAGATGCCTGCAGGAAGGTGAGCTAGTTAAGGGTCTGCTCAGCCGCCCTGAGCCAGTGCCTGGTGGCTGAGCCAGGCTCCAGGCTGGTTCTTGCCCGCTGCACATGCCCATGTCCCTCACTCCACGTTTCCCCTTCACTGTGGGACATTTCAGCATGCTGAGTTTCCTCGGGCACAAGCACAAGGGGGCAGGTGCTTACAGAAAGTCCAGCCCGGTGTGTATGTGGCCTGTGTGTGCAGTGAGGCACTGCTTCACAGCGGGGATACCGGCGGGGACACATTCTGAGATTTGGTCATTGTGCAGTCATGGAGTGCACTTAACACAAACCGAGGTGATAGAGCCTCCTGCTCACCTAGGTTACACCGGACAGCAGATTGCTCCTAGGCTACAAGCCTGTACAGCATGTTCCCATACTGTATACTATAGGCAATTGTAACAGTGTATTTGTGTATCTGAACCTACTTAAGCATAGAAAAAGTACAGTAAAGATACAGTATACGAAAGATAAAAATAGTTCACCTGGATAGGGCATTGTCAGAATGAAGCTTGTAGGGCTGAAGGCTGCTCTGGGTGAGGCAGTGAGTGGTGAGTGAATGTGAAGTCCTAAGACATTACGGTACACCTTTGTAGACTCTATAATAAATACTGCACTTAGTCTACAATAAATTTATATTTATTTATGTATTTATTTATTTTGCGATGGCGTCTCTGTCACCCAGGCTGGAGTGCAGTGGCACAATCTTGGCTCACTGCAACCTCTACCTCCCTGGTTCAAGTGATTCTCCCACCTCAGCCTCCTAAGAAGCTGGAATTACAGGCGTGTGACACCACACTAGGCTACTTTTTGTATTTTTAGTAGAGATGGGTTTTTGCCATATTGGCCAGGCTGGTCTTGAACTCCTGACCTCTGGTGATCCACCCTCCTCAGCCTGCCAAAGTTCTGGGATTACAAGCGTGAGCCACCGTGCCTGGCCTAAATTTATTTTTAAAATTTTCTTTCTTCAATTATAAATTAAAACTTAGCTTCCTGTAACTTTTTTACTTTATATATTTTTACATTTTTTAGCTTTTTGATTTTTTAAAATAACACCTGGCTTAAAACACAAGCACAATTTATAGCTGTACAAAAATATTTTCTCTTTTTAATATCCTTATTAAATAAGCTTTTTTTCTATTTTTAAAATTTTATTTTTTATTTTTTACATTTTTTGTTAAAAATTAACAAAGAGACACACTAGCCTAGGCATACACAGGGTGAGAATCATCGATACCACTGTCTTCCACCTCCACGTCTCATCCGTGGTCTCATCCCGTAGGGAAGTCTTCCGGGCCAATAACATGCATGGAGCTCTCACCTGTGATAACAATGCCTTCTTCTGGATGCTTCCTGAAGGACCTGCCTGGGGCTGTTTTACAGTTAACTTCTTTTTTATAAGCAAAAGTAAACTCTAAAATAACAAAAAAAGTATAATAGGGCCAGGCCTGGTGGCTCACTCTTGTAATCCCTTCGGATCACCTGAGGTAGGGAGTTCCAGACCAGCCTGACCAACATGGATAAACCCCATCTCTACTAAAGATACAAAATTAGCCAGGCATGGTGGTGCATGCCTGTAATCTCAGCTACTCGAGAGGCTGAGGCAGGAAAATCACTTGAACCCGGGATGGGGAGGTTGCAGTGAGCTGAGATCACGCCATTGCACTCCATCCTGGGCAACAAGAACAAAACTCCGTCTCAAAAAAAAAACAACAAAGAAAGATATAATATAGGCCGGCTGCAGTGGCTCACGCCTATAATCCCAGCACTTTGGGAGGCTGAGGCAGGCAGATCACTTGAGCTCATGAGTTGATCAGCCTGTGCAACATGGCGAAACCCTGTCTCTACAAAAGACACAAAAATTAGCCATGGCACGCGCCTGTAATTCCAGCTGCTCAGGAGGCTGAGGTGGGAGGATGACTTGAGCCTGGGAGGAAGAGGTTGCAGTGAGCCGAGGTTGCAGTGAGCCGAGATTGCACCACTGCACTCCAGCCAGGGCGACGGCGCCAAACTTTGTCTCAAAAAAAAAAAAAAAAAGAGAAAAAGAGAAAAAGGAAAGAAACAAAAACATATAATAAATACATAAACAAGTAACAGTCATTTATTATCACTACCAAGTATTATGTGCTGTATATAAATCATGTGTGCTGTCCTTTCATGCAACTGGCCATGCAGTAGATTTGTTCATACCAGCATCCCCACAAACACCTGAGTAATGCAGTGTGCTACAGTGTTACAGCAACTACTCTTCACTGGGTAATAGGAGTTTTTCAGCTCCATTACATTATAGACCACCATTATAGATGCAGTCCAACATTGACTGAAAAGTTATTATGCAGCGCATGACTGTATTTATGGGATTTTTCATGTAGACTTGTATATCAGTTATAGATGGCCTCATGACGGTTAAATGTCTGTCACTTAGGAGCTTAAAGCAACAAAATGTATTATCTCAGTTTCGGTGGGGCAGAAACTCAGACCAGGCCTAGCTGGGTGGTTCCAGGTCAGATTCTCTCCAGGGGTTGCAGTCAAGCTGTGGCCTGGCACTGACTTCCTCTAAAGCCTCAACTGGGGCTGGAGAGTGGCTTCCAAGTTTGAAACTGACCCAGTAGTCCCATAGACTGTTTTTCGGATAAACATACAAATTGACCCTTCTGGCTTGAAATTTACATTTGTTTTACTTGAGTTCCTTCCTCAGGAAACTAACTTCAGGTTTCTCAAGAAAAGTACCAAAGAACTGAAACTCACCAGATCACCACATTCAGACAATGAGATGCTACCCCCTCATTCATCATGATTGCTTCCGTGCCCCTCCCTAGTTCCTGTTTTCTTACACATTGTTTCATTTCTTCCCTGCTATACAAATCCCTGGTTTTAGTAGGTCAGCAGGATGGATTTGAGACTGAGCTCCCATCTCCTCGGCTGCAGCACCTGATTAAATCCTTTCTTGGCAATACTTGTCATCTCAGTGATGAGCTTTCCATGCGGTGAGCAGTAGGACCTGGACCAAACCCCTGGTGTTGTGGTAACAAGTTCACCCAGTCACGCAGCTCCTGGCTGGAGGCCTTGGTTCCTTGCTGCATGGATTTCTCCGCAGAGCTGCTCACGGTGTGGCATCTGGCTTCCCTAAGAGTCAGCTATCCAAGAGAAAGAGCAGTCAAGATGGAAACCACAATGCCTTCTTCGGACCTAGTCCTCAAAGTCACAGACCTCCACCTCAGCCAGACTCCATATTTTACAAGTGTCGCCAAACACAGTTTGGACTCAGGCAAGGGGAATCAGCTTCCAACCTTTAATGAGGGAATAACAAAGAAGTCTTGGGCCTGGCCGGCACAGTGGCTCACACCTGTAATCCCAGCACTTTGGGAGGCCGAGGCGGGAGGATCACGAGGTCAGGAGATCGAGACCATCCTGGTTAACATGGTGAAACCCCGTCTCTATTAAAAATACAAAAAAAATTAGCCAGGCGTGGTGGCGGGCGCCTGTAGTCCCAGCCTACCTCGGAGGCTGAGGCAAGGAGAATGGCTTGATCCGGGAGGACGGAGCTTGCTGTGAGCCGAGATCGAGTCACTGCACTCCAGCCTGGGCGACAGAGCGAGATCCATTCTCAAAAAAAACAAAAAAAAAAAAGAAAAAGAAGTCACTGGGCCTACATTTAAATCCACCACTTAAATCCACCCACAACTGCGCCGGGCGCCGGT